TTTACATGTGCCCTATTTACATAGCCTGATGTCATCTCTAGATTTAATATGAATACCCCTTCTCAGGACTCACCTGCACAAACAAATCTCTGTTTTCACACCTTCCATGTAGTTGCTCGAGATTCTTAAAGAGCAGGTTCCTTTCCCTTTTATCATTTTCCAGAAGTTTTCAAACAATTTACTCCCATCTATCTGTCAAGACAAGCACACTCAGATGAAGTATTTCAAACAACCTTCTTCCTTTTCCTCCTGCCGATCTTCTCTGAGCAGTCTGTACATATAGACAAGCTTTAACCAGCTAATGCCTTCAAAAAACCTGTCCAAGTCTCTATTATAACTTGTCCCCTCCACTCTGAAGCTGAATGAGTTGCAGAGCCTCTGGAAGGATCAGACCTTGACTGCCGGAGTTTTTACAACTATGCATCCCTTTGATCCCTTTCCCAATATGCACAAAATACTGAACTTCTCTCCTGGATTTCATTACACATAAAAAGACATGAAAGTGCAATTTACTCCTTACTCATCAACAACTACCCATCAGCCCTAGCTCCAAGCTAGACCGTTCTGGCTCCTTCAAGAAATGGTTTTGAAATTTCCATTTCCAGATTGCCCTGGCAGGTATAACTGTGACTTTGCAAACAACTACAGCTGTGTGTGCTAATTGCTTTCCTCTAAATTATTTATGAGACATTTTTGACTGATGGGATTTCTCACAGCAGCATGTGCTAAGCATTGGCAGTGGAGTCCTGAACTGGTGGGAACTCCATCACCTGCCGAGCTGCGGAGGAGCCAGCTGTTAGTCCTGGCAGCCTGTGCACTGAGCTGCCAGGTCAAGCTCTACCTGCTTTCATCTCCTTTTCCTATAACTGCTTGATAGAAATTTATGTGTAAGCATCATATCTGCACATAACACACCCCCTTTACTTTTGGGATTAGATCAGAGAATGCTGGAGACTGCCTAATTTAGATAAGGCAGAATACAGGGTGTCAGTGACCTGTGGAAGACAATCCATTTCACTAAACAGGACATTTTCAAGCTCTGGTCCCAGAGGCAGCAGGGGTTCTGTAAAATGCAATTAGGGAAGCCAGAAATCAATAGGCTTAAATTCACCACATAGAAGGTAGCAGATTTACCAGAAATTTTTTACAAGATACATAAACTGAAAAAGAATGGAAAACACAACTACAGGCAGTACAAAATATTTCTCATGACCCACCACTCTACCACTGCTTTTTACTGGAGGGCTTATCTCTGCCATGCAGCTAAAAACTACTTTAAAAGCTGTCTGAAGGTAACCATAAGCCCTGTCAGTTAAATAAAAAAAAATGGTGTTCCAGGGACCAGCAAATTATGTCAGTATTTTCCCTTTCCCTTTCAGATATGAATAACTGATAAGGAGAAGCAGTTGGAACCACGTTGGGTAAAAGAAAAGCTTCATGTCTTGAGTTGCAGGAGCTCGACAAGGAGCAGGCAGAGGAATGAAGCAAAGCAGCCTGTTGGAATTACTGCTCACTATTGGTGTTTTGATTACCTTCCCAGGAGACTCTAAAGATTGCTGGGTGAGCAACCAGTGTGACATCTTCATGAGTTTCACAGCTGTGTTTAAGAACTAAGTTTAAACAGGATTCCCAGCCAAACCGTAGATGAAATTGTGCATTGGACATTTTCCTAAGCAGTAATTTTACCCTGTCCATCCCACAAGTTTTAAACAATTTGAATTAACCTTGTGCTGCTCAGTTATTCTACACATGCCAGAAGATTCAGTGTTTTCAGTACAAAAGTGTACTGACCCCAGATTTGGGAGTTCAGACAGGAAAGAGAGGGTGACGAAGAGGGCCATCTTCCTCCTCAGAGGTGAACTGGTATTTCAGAGCCAGGTCAGATATTCCTGAGCCACTGTGCTCCGTGCAGCAGGGATATAATCTGAATTGCTGTGGGAGGTATGCAGGGGACAGCACACCATAATCCATCTGTGCATAAGGTCAGCAGGAGGAAGGCAGGGCAGAAGGTGCTCTAAGAGCACCCAGAAGTTTTGTTTCCTTACTCCCTTTCTCACTTCCAGTGGAGCTGTCTCTCCAGCCGTGTCCTGTTCAGTGGGTGGCACTTGGAAATCGAAACAAGGGTCCCAGTTTCCAAGCCTGCTCCCTCAAAGGGGTGTACCACATGGACTTCTTGTACTTCCATGAAACGGCAGCCTAGGGGTGAAGAAATGGTTTCCCTACAGAAGAATAGGAGGAAGCAGGAAGGGGGGAAGCTCATGTTCCCATCACAGATGCAAAAGGAGACAGGACAGAAGGTATCTGTCTGGATCTGACACAGACTAACAGCATGCCACAGGTAAGGCTAGGAAGTCATTCATGCCTCATTTCCCCCACCTGTAAATTATTCCTCCCCTTTCATCCCCACAGGCACATCATTATGATTGCTCAATTAATTAACAGCTTAAAAGAGCTCTGAGACATTCAGATGGAAGAGAAGGATTGTTTTGTATTTCTGCTTCTCCAAAGTTGTGTGGATAAACACTGAACTTTTTAAGTCCTTTGCTGATGATGACAATTTACTTCCTGTTTATGGATGGGAAACTTAAACTATGGAAATGTTAAAGCACACATTTTGGGAAACAGCATCAGGTTCCAAGATCCCACCTTCTGCATGTTCAGATACATACAAACACAGCTTGACTTTCATTCTCCATTCTACATGTGAGCAGTCACAGGTGAAGATATTCATCTACTGGAGATCATGAGTTCAGGATCCCAAATCAAGTGTCTCAAAGTTTGATTCTCTCTAGGAAACCTAAATGAAAACTTAGCAAAGCAAACCTGGCTGGAAGCAGCTCACTGTGTTCACACTTGTGTTCAGCCAGAGCTTCAAAACAGCTTCATGCCATTAGAGGATCAGAAACACGACTGAGTCTTTGGGAAGTGTCTATCACATGTCCCTCCAGCACAGCAATTATAAATCAATGTATTACGGGAGTGAGAGTTTCCCCGACCAAAACAATTAAAAATACCACATAAAATAAAATGCTGAAAGGAAATCTGTCCGTTCTGCACTATTATTATGTTTAACAGAAAACCCAAGTTCCTGTCAAAAACAAGAGAATAGGCAATCTCCAGCCAGCTTTAATAGCAAGATCTTTTGAAATATTCAGCCATCTGTCACAGCAGGAGGGCTTGTTGTTCAGCCCTTCTGAAAAAATTTGGCCTTTATTTGAGAACATGGTGCTTTTGAAACTCCGCTCTCAGGCCCCTCCTAGAAACCACTTCTTCCATGGCAAGTCCTGCTCTTTTTGTGTTTACCAGAGGTGTCCTCAGCGCAGTGCAACCTGCCAGGAAAGCAGGTAGAGATGGACTGGAAGCACAAAAGTGGAAGATTACCCTGAGCTAGCCCTAAATCCAAGGACAAATAGGTACATTAGGTCCAGAACTAACTGTACTTTCATTTTATGTTGCTTATAAAAAACATTACAAACATATTTTAGCAAATGTCAAAATGCGTGTATCTCATGAAAAATGACCATAGAATACTCCTTTCCCCTCAGAATTATTTATTTCCCCCCTTCTCTGATTATTCCAGTTCTTTCTCTTCTTTCTTTCACTATTGTTGACATCTTTCCCGAGGTTAAAAAGAGGTAACAAAGGACTTCAGTCACCCAGCAATGGAATGAACTGCTCCATTCTATGCAGAAACAGCTTCCAAATCAGCCTGTCTGTGGGTTAAAAAAATCTGCTATGCCGAAAGGAAAATCCAGGAGCAGGTGAATCATCTCATGTGCTGGGAGCAGGCAAACAGAGATGGCATGATGCACAGCACTACATTAAACCAGGAGTCTAATCCCACTGTAAACACCTACATCTGGAACCTGCAATGATTCTCCTCCACAGAACAAACATTTTCCTCTGAAGACAGCCCAGCAAAGCAGAGCACTAACCTGGATATTTTCCCTTTCTCCTGCTACTGGTGTGTTAGAAGAACCTGTTACTGTTCCATTTTAACAAATATAGATTGAGTTCCTTGTGGTTCTCTGGGACAGAGACAAAAATCTTGTTACCCTCAATGAAGCAAGACCTCCTGCAAATGGATGGGACATATAAGAACACTTTTTATTTCTGAAGTGGGGCAAGAAGCTTTGAAGTTACATTAATACCTCCAGATAAAGAGTCACACAATCCCTCCTGCTGCAAAGGAAACCTCAGTAAAATGGCTACATGAAAGTCAACAGCAAAATTCCCACCAGTTTCACTGTGAACAAGACTTCAGGCCATAAATCTGTTCTGTAAAGGGTTTCCTACCAAATGTTTGAAAATTATTTTTTCCAAAGGGGGAAAAAAAAAAAGTTAATTGTTGCATTGTATTTTCTATAAAAAGCCATAACCAAACATTTCATTTTAGATTGGGTCAAATTTCCAGTTCCCACACATGTCTGCATGAAGCAGGAACTCAGTTGGCTGACATGTTCTGTTGCTAAACTGAACTGACACACAAGAGTGTGACAGTGGCAAGCAAAATGTTTTGCACTCTTAATCCCCAGAAAATAAAAGAAAATATAGCACATCAAGCTGCTTCTCCAACCCTCCCTCACAAGTTTGCATAGAAATACATATGGTAATACTGCAATTTTTCAAAGATTTTTTAAAACTGCAATTTACATCAGCAATGGCTACCACTTGGCACAATCCTACTGAAGTTAAGAAGTTACCCTGGAATAATAAAGCAAAATTTGGAACAGAATTTGTCCTGAAGAGCTCCAGGTCCCAAAGAGCCCAACAAAACCTTCCTCTTGGCTCTGCTCATTCCTTTTCAGGAAGAACCCAGCGGAAGGGAGGCAGTCAGTGTGACTGCCAGCTTTGCAGAGTCCATGAAACTCTTTGGAGACACGACCCCAGTTCTGGCTCTTGGATTTCCAACAGAGGACTCTATTAAAAATTATCCTCTCCAGGGCCCCAAAATCTTCACCCTTAACCTTTCTGAGTCATTAAAGAGTATTCAGCCCTATTACAACAAATACAGCAAATTTCCCTCAGAAGCCACTGAAACATTATAAAGCAATGGACCAGACCTTGTTCTGCAAGGCTGAAGCCCCAGGAAATGAAAAGAACTTCAGCACTTGCTTAAGCTTAAGCACAAGCTGAAATGCATGGCTGAATAGGAATGGCCTGAGGAATTATGCAAATGCTTAGATGAATCCGGGTCCAAATATGAATTACTTTAGAAGATAGAGAAGCAAGCAGTGCAATTTAATCATTTTTATCTCCTTACCAAGAATGCACAAGTTCTTACAGCTAATATTACAGCATCTTCTGCTGCTGCCAGAAGCCAAATGACCTATTCTTTAACAGTCAAGCTCTCCTCATTTTCAAACTGAAGATTAGTCCATTTATGCTGAACAGTGGCACAGAATGACAATTTCGTAATACACAGATTGAGTGCTATTCCACTCACATGTTACATTACCTTGCCCTTTCATCCACTGCACTTCCACTTGCAATTGACTATCATGGTAATAAGGTGGAGTTGCTTCTAATCTCAAATTGTGTACGTTCTGGGATGCTGGCAATTCATTAGATACTGCCACAGAGTGACCAACTGGATCTGACCTTGAATCTGAACACATAAAAAAAAAAAGTGGAGATAAAACTTATTCATATTAACAGACTGCAGTAAAGTTACAATGTGAGCTGGGCACTTCCTTAAAATGCTGAATAAAATGAACCTTCAGCAATGGCACTGCCAAGGGCAGGCAGCACCTCCCAGCAGACTGTCAGCACTGTCCACAAGGGATCCCAAAAACATGAAGGCTGATTGTGAAAATGCTTCTACACATGCCTAGTCCTTACTTCTGCAAATATTCTTGCCGATGTGAGCATTTTCAGTGTCAGATCCCACAGCTGTATTGCTAACAGGCAGTGTCCAACACAGATTCCAGTTTGCAGGAATATCAGTGAATCCATCTGAGTACGTCATCACAGAAAACTAATGGTTTACAGTAGGTTATCATAACCCACACACTAAAGAAAGACTTTATTTCACTGTGATCTGAGCAGATATACATAGCAGAAAGTGGAAGGTGATTAATAAATTCTGCTACCCAAAAAGAGGATTGTGGTAATTACAGCACAATTGCCACAGAAGATATACAAAAGAGCTCACTGAGAAAACACCCCAATTTAGACTGCACAACTCCAGGGACTGCTTGCTAATAAAATACAGAATATTTTACTTCTAGGTCACTGATTTCAATCTGGCCTCAAAGGAAAAAATGACTGAAAGTTAATGCCAGCTGACAGTGGTGTGAAAGCTGCAGGGTGGATCTCAGCCCACTTCCGAGCAGATTGGAGGACACAACCCAAGTATTTGTGATTTGTGAAAGCAATACAGCTAAAAATTCAGGGTGTGATTCAATGATACTGTAAATCCAGCTGCAGGACTCTTAGGACAAGGAGCTGATATGACATACACAATTCTGCTGATTCCAGCTTGTCTGAAACCTTTTGACAAGTTAACTGTGCACAAACAGGTGCTGGGGCCGATCAGATATCATTATGCTTTTTACAGCTGGAAGAAAAATCCAGGTTGTGTGTGCCAAGCAGTTCAACAGAAATGTAGGTAAGTGCCCACAGCTCATTGAGATCCAAACTGCCTGGTATCAAGGGTCACCAGTCCATGGCCTCCAAGCTTCATCCTTCAGTGACAGCAGGTGCAGGCTGTGTAGGAGCAGGCACATCAGAACTGTACTGTTTTATTGCTGCTGGTCACTCTCTGAACTGGAGACAAATGAAGGTGCTGTCTACACCTCCGTCTGTCCTGTGACAGGGTGGAGGGTTCCAGATGGTTAGCAAGTCACCCAGGACACATAAAGCCACACAGGCATTAAATAGCATAAATAGCGAGGCATTAAATGACACCATCCCTGCTGGCACCACATCCTTGCTCATCAGTGCTCCATTCATTTAAACACTTTAAAGAGAGCAGGGAAATAGGAGATTAGAGAGATGTGCTGCTGCCTTTGATAAGCCTGAAAATAGAAGCAATGTTTGTGTTAATCCTGTAGCTGTAATACAGAAAAGGCACGATTAACTGCAGTTGCAGGAACAGTCTAGTGCAATCTATTTTCCCAGTGAATTTCTCCACAGAAAGATGGGTCACAGGGCACACCTGCAAAATCCATCCAGACATTTGTATCTGCATTGTGTCTATGGCCTGTGCTCCAACAGATGGTTGGCTAAAGGATTTCTTCTTTTATTTTATTTTGGGTTTTTTTTTCCTTAACAGGAACAGAGCACAAGAGCAGAGCAAGCCCTCCTGCCAACAGCACAGGGAGTGCAGAGCATTCAACTATGAAGGGGTGACCTTGATTAGTGTCTAATCAAGTGTAGAAACCAGTTGCTTTTCAGCACATAATAAAGGAGAAAAGTTCTGCAATGATCTGCCAGAGTTCTTGAAGCTGCTCTAAGGAATGCTGTCGGAGATGCTGTCCATACAGTCTCTGCTTCAGGCACCAGTGGCCTTGATCCTTCCACACGTGTGGTACCTCCTGCTTCACTGCAAGATCACTCCCAGAGAGGTCTATGTACTGCTTTTTACATAACATGCTATTCCTTAATCAGCAGCACAGATGTCAGGGCAGCTCTACCTGACTTATGCGTACAGATAGAAAATGCAGGCAGCTTTGGTTAAGGTTCCTTATTTCCTTTTTATTTCCCTTACAAATATTATATCCTGGAAATAGTATCTATCTCTCATTGCTGCTAGCAATGGAGAGGAATGAACAGCCCTGTAGATAAGAAAAGAAGAAATTCTGGATCCACTGATACAGGGTGAAAATATCCTAGCTGAGTGTTTCCCTTAGAACTATACACCTTTGGGAAAGAAGCCAAAAGAGGTTGGATTAGCTGGTGTGAAGGCTTGCAAGATCAGCTGTGGCTTGGAAAGGCAATACTGTCATAAAGGTCCTACTGAGAATAGAGAGGGATTAACACGGTGTTTGAATGGATCCAGCAAGTCTTGGGACAAGGAAACATGAACAGTGTTGGCATTATGTGATTATAATAAAATCAGGCTGATGATGGAGAGGGGGGAAAAAAGTGGTACCTCTTCTCTACTGCATTACAAGCAAAAGTGCTAGTGAGAAGGCTGAGGTCCCTGCACACACAGCCATGTCTCACTGGAACTGCAGAGAAAACCATCCCATCTGGGATGCACTCTGCATTAGCAGAGGCCACAGAGGAACAGGAATCTGTTCATGAACCTCCAGTTCATGAACAGAAACAATAAAACAAGGAGTTTCCATGTTATTTAAAAACCCAGGGCACTCACAGGACAAAAACTTCCCTGGAGGCATGGGAAGGAAGTAAAATCTGTGCTTCGAAAGACAGAAAATTCACAGCTTATAAAAAGGAGGGTGGGAAACACAGATCTGGAAGCCAAATCATAGAATCATAGAATCATCCAGGTTGGAAAAGACCTCCAAGATTGTCATATCTAACCCTTGATCAAACACTGTACTGTGGTTACCAGACCATGGCACTCAGTGCCACATCCAGTCTCATCTTAAAAACCTTCAGGGACGGTGAATCCACCACCTCCCTGGGCAGCCTATTCCAATGCCTGATCACTCTCTCTGTAAAAAAATTCGTCCTAATATCCAACCTAAACTTCCTCTGGCACAGTTTAAGACCATGCCCTCTTGTCCTACTGCTGGCTCCTGGGAGAAGAGACCGACACCAGGGGTTGCACTCTGCGTGCAGGGAGAGGGGTGTTGCAAATGGGAGGAAAGATTTTGTGCTTTCCAGAGGTTTCTAAACCCAAAAAGCTTCAGCCTTCACTTCTATAAGGTACTCTGTGTTACACATGAATCCTTCTCTTCCATTTTAGAGTTTACCTGCAGAGGAAAATGTTAAGCTCTTAGCATTAAAAAGAAGGGGAAAAAAGGTAAAATGTTTTTAATTTTAAAAAGACAAAACTTCTTTATAGCTTCATAATTAGTTAAAATTTGCCTGTGGTGTTATGTCCATGTGCTAAGTTTCCTTAGGGATCCATTTGCATCTGCATAATCACCTATTTTAATTATATGATGCCATAGGGTATATGGTACTACATGGACAAGAAAAAAGACAAGGAGATGACAGTGGGACAGAAAATAGAGCAGCTACATTTCCATCAGCAAAAATGACTGTTACATGCAGTCATGAGCACGGGATGGGGGAGGGACAGTCATGTGAAATAAGTTGCTTCAGTCCTTCAAGTCCCTAAAATAAATTCAGTCCCTTGTGAGGCAGATTTTCTCTCTCTTCTGTTCCACATCTCAAACCCAGTATGATTTCCTGCTCCAGATGGTGGCAATACTCTTCAAGTCAGGGCATCCATCTTCTCCAGACTATGACCGCAAGTCTCTGCCATTTCAGAAGCCCCCACCTCACAGCAAACCCCTTCTATCCCAACTCAGAATCCCACTGTTTCTCCAACCTCCCTGTTATCACTTATACATATATAAACATTGACATTATCTATACAAAAGAGATCAGGAACTTCTGGTATCTTAAAAATCCTAGATCACTCTTTCCAACCCTGAAATGTTCCTGTTTCTAACCACATTTGCAATCCAGTAGACCACAATTGCACGGAGGTGATAAAAAAAATGAGAGTTGTTCACATCAACCACAGCAGAAGGATCTTCAAGTTGGAGAGAGATTGGGGGAATATGGCCTGTCACAGCCAGATCTTTGAGCAGCACATGTTGTTTATCACACCAAGCCAGAGTCATGACTGCATCTCTTCCTGGCAGATGCATCCTTTCTCTTCTCTTGCTTTTCTCCACCAGCAGCTGTTGTGCTCTCCCAGCACCTCTCAAAGGCCAGCAGAGACAGTGGTAGGCACAGTGGCAGCACACATGCATCAGCCATTTTCCAGTGATCTTTATTAGCTGTTCTGGCCCCCATAAGCTTATGCAGACTTTGTAATGGTGGATTTTTAGGTCTCTTTCTGGAGATGAATCCCAGCAAATGAGAGCACTGATGGAGGCACAGGGATGAGTGGTGAAGCTGTCCCACCTGAGACTCTTAAGGGCATCAGGAGGTGGAGGGTGTACCTGAAAAACAGAGCAAGGTACAGGGAGGAGTTTTCAAAAATGAAAATACCTCTAGCAGAAAGACAGACAGTGACATGAGCAGGCTAAAACAGCCACCAAGGTTTGGTTCTAATTGTCAGCATAGCACATCCTTCCACTGAAGGTCAGTTCAACAATATCTGGATTAGTAACTTTAGAAGTTCTGTTACAGACTGAGACAGGCTTGGGTGGAAAGGAGTTTCCAAACCTGGAACTGCAAGGGCTCAAACTTAGGTACAGACTGAGACTGTCTGAGCCTTAAGTCCTGAGCATACCTGAACTTTGTTCTAACTATAAGACAAAAGATGTGCAGGACAAAACTAAGCAGCTTAAAAAGAATATGCTGTGGGGCAGTTACAATTTCATAAAGAATGATTTCACCTACCAAAGTTAAAAGATGATCCTGCAAACGGGTAAGATATATTAAATTGGGAAAACAGTGCTAGCATGCCCTTAAAGAAAATACCCTGCAATTACCAAGAGACAGGATATGGATAAGCAGTTTTCAAGAGGAAAGCCCCTCTATCTCATTAAACAGCTGCTTTGCTCCTGCATTTTTTCCCTGTTCAACTCTTCACCTTTAATCTGCAATACTCAGCTATGCTGCACACACCAAGAATGCAAAGCTGACAAGCACAGGAGGGCCTCCCTTATCAGCTTAGGATAAAAGCAAGAGATCGAAAGGATGGATTGTCTGTGATTTTTCATTGCAGACTGGTAGATACTTCATGCCCGTTTCAGACAGGCTAAAGATTTGGAGATCTGAAGATTCATTTATCTTTAAAGATTTAGAGGAATATTGGTGGAAAATTACCAGTAAACTTCCACACAGGAAAGAAAGGAGTGCCATGGTGTTCACACCACCGAGCCATGTGACAGCACAGGGCTGTTGCTGCTGTGTGGCAGCAGCTGGGGACAGCAGGGCGATGCCATTCCTCCCCCTCACCGAGGACTGAGCACTCCCAGCGCTGGGATGTTAAGGGGAAGATGCAAATCAATGAGTCAGTCCTCTCACTTCAGGGATGCCAAAAAAGGGTATCTGCAGGTATAAAGCCTGCAGTAACACACCAGCGAAGGAAGTTTCCTCCTAATCTCAGTGACTGCCTTATGGCCTGTAGAAAGAGGATTTCGATTTTTCCTGAGGACAGCAGGTAACCCCACAACACTGCTGAGCCGCTGCGGCAGCCTTGTGCCTGCAAGAGGAGCACAGAGGCTCCCAGGCACTCTCTTCCTTGCTGTCTGAATAAAGCTCCTGAGTATGGCCTTCCTTATCCTCCCCTCCCTCCTGTGATCACAGGGAGCTCCCACTCCAGGCCTCTGATGTGTTGGCAGCCTCTATAATTTAGAGTAGCTGTGATTTATGGCTTGGACAGAGTCTGTACTTAGGGAATACAAAGGTAGGGCTGGCCTGACCAGTATAGCTGTGTCGTGTCCGGCCCTTTGTATTGATCAAATGAGTGATGGAAGTGAAGAATTCAATGGTATTTGCTGTCTGTAAGGATCAGCGAAGGGACAGGGAGCTGGGGTGGAGGCAGGTATTTAATTACCCCTCACAGCCAGCACCAGCAGCCAAAAGTGTGATGATGACACTCTGTGTATTGATGGGGGGGAATCGCTCTCCTCGACCTCCCTCTGCACCTCCGCTCAGTGAGGAAGGAAACAGAAAAAAGAATGAGGAAATTTTCTGAATGCTTCATCCTGCATTAATCACGTCCCATATCCTTCTCCTCATCTAGTCTCCAGGGGAATGTCACAAGCACTGGTACAAGAGAAATGAGGGGAAGTTTACAGTTGCCTAAATCTAAGGGAGAGAGGTGTTTGTGGCACACAGCATGTTGTAGCTCCCACTATAAATTCATGGGCAGATTTCCAACAAGTAATAGGGAGCCGAATCCTAACTACTTAGTGAAAGGCTTGAGCAACCTTTAATCAGACTCCTAATTGGTCTTTTCCTCTGTTTCAACATTTGTTATTTGAGGAAACCAGCAAAAGTTCCCAAATGAGCTTTTTAAAGTAACATTCAGGACATAATCAGGTCTCTTTGAAAAGGGACAGTTCTAAATCGAGTCATAATGTTTGATACTGTGTCTGCCAAATTTAGCAAATGGTTTTAGTGGGGACCTGTATTTATCAAATTACCACCTTTAAGACAAGTGCTTATGAGGAATGCTGTCTGCCTAGACCTTATTCTGCTAATGAGGGCATGCCCCATCTTTTCCAAAACACCACTTCTAAGACAATGGTCCAGTTTTTACATTACAGCCATGGCTGCCTTGTACTGGCTGAGTAGCTGTCATTTGGATTCCTCCTATCAACTCTGAATTCCCTTTCATCTAGGGTCTGTGTTATGTGATGGCAGCTCAGAGCAGTGACCTATGACTATGCTTGACTTCTTATCTCATGGCATATGGACTAACTTACAAATGCAGGTAATTAGTTAAAGACGTTTCATGACAAATTAGACTAATGGAATTGTAATGGTTAAATTAAGTTTTGGGGTCAGTTTTAAGGTCCCTTGTTAGGGGTGATAGTTAAAATGCAAGCTGTCAGACTCTGGGAAGTATCTTGTTTCTTTTAATAAAGTGCTTCTTTTGCATGTGAAAAGCCAAGGACATAACTGCTGCGATAGGGCCTGATCCAAGGAAAACAATCTGGTTGGCAGTTTCTGGATAAGGCAGTCTCCCCAGTCCTGCCCCCAAACTGTGTCCTGTAGGCAAGACATCCAGTGGAGCAGAGCAACAAGTGTGCAGAAGGATCAAAGCACGCAGCTTTGCACTGCTCTGAACACTAATCCCTCACTCTCCCCTTGCACCTTTCAGCTGGAAATTTCATCTGACATCTTTCTTCAGGGAGGAAGTTAATTTTGCAAAATCAAACAGTCCAACATAAATTAAACAGATAAATCATGTCCTGTTATCCGCATCCTTCCTCCAGGAGGACCTTGCAAGGCTCTCCCTGTAGGCTTTTCTAACAACAGAGCAACTTGATAACTCGCACAATGCTAAGGACAAATGGGAAAGGAAGAGACAACAAAATGGAAAACATTATTCTGCAATTTTGTCAATCCCTGGTGTGCCCATGTCTTGAGCACTGCATGCAATTCTGTTTGTGCAGTCTCAAAAAGGTTCATTAGAGCAAAGAGAAGCAGCAAGAACATGAGAGGTACCAAAGGGCTTCTCTAACTGAAGAGACTTCATAGCAAGGACTCATTTGCTTATCAAACAACAGCTGAACTTGGATGTGATTGAGGTAGTTAGCACGGAGCGGGATGGAGAAAGCAAACAGGGAGTGATTACTCTTTGCTTCTCTATTATGAGAAACATATTACTCTTTGCTTCTCATAATAAAGAGGAAACACATTTTACATAGTTGGTAGTTGAATGTGGGGGTCACTGATGTAGAGTCCAAAGGAATAAGTGGGCTCAAAAAAACCAGGTAAATTAATCAGAATACACTAAAGGCCACTACATAGAGTAGTTTGGATACAGCCTGGAGCTCAGGAAATGCCTCCATACAAGAGCACCAGAAGATGGAAAGATATACCAAAAAAAGGACTCTTGTCTCAGTACCCCCCTTTATGCTCTTTTCCTACCCTTCCATCACTGCAATCTGAGACAGGACACCAGGGAGTTGTTCTGACTCAACAGAGCCACTCTCATCATCCCATCTTAGGTCTCTTCTCACTGCAGACAACATATTAGTCTCAGATAAGGTTAAGCCACTTCCCTTCAAAGGCTGCCCTGACCTCTGATGGCCACGGCAAGGAACAGCTCGGCTCAGAGAGCCTTCTCCTGCCCCGGGATCCGGCGGGGATGAGGGGCAGCAGTACGTATGTAAGTACATGTACATACACATGTGACTGGGAATGAGATGAGGTCCCTAATTGCACAGACTCCATTTTTAGCTCTAAGCACATGCTTTGATCTTTCCTTTTCCAGTGTAAACACCGAGCAGAGTACAGATTTAGACAGACATTCCCCACTGAAACACGCTGCTCTGCTCCTGCCCAGGCAGGGAACAAGACAGCGAGTGACACGAGACAGCTGTAGCTACGTCGCTGTATCCACACTCCTTGGATATAATGGCAACAAAAAAAGCACAGTGCGAGGACCCCTAAGGAAGAGAAAGAGTAATGTGGTGTCTTTGTTCAGATATCATTCCAGGCAGCTCTGGCAGGCACAGCACCCTTCACCGCTGTTTACATCTTCGAACTAGGATCAGTATATTGAATTCACCTTAAAAAAAACACAAACAAACCCCCCAAAAACTCCCCCAAAACAAAAACAACAAAACCCCAAACAAAACCACACATAAAAAAAAACCCAAATTAAAACCAAACAAAAACAAAACCACAAAAAAACCCCAAAACCAAAACCAAAAAAAAAAGGAAACGAAAAAAATCAACCACAAACCCCAAAATAGAAGAACAGAACCCTCTGATTTGGTACCATCCACTTGGTCTTCTGCCTTTTAGACAAATAATGTCCTCCCCAGTCTCTCAATGCTAGTTGGCTGTAGGAGATGGAGACCATTCAATATGGATGTAAGATAGCAGCTGTAAGGGGACAGGAGCAAGTCAAGACAAACATCCACTCAGCGCCTTGACTTTCTGTATCTTTCATTTCTCTAATTCCTGGCACGTGTCGTTCATACCTTCTTCACATACGCATCAGGACCAAATGACAGATGCAAATGCAACAATTTTCCTCCACAAACAAAACCAGGATTCAAAAGCCCATTAATAGAACGATGCAGAATTCATTGCATTGTGCATCCTTGTAAATGTGCATGCACACTCTTTTTATATTTAATATACGTGAAATAGTAATAAGTAGTAAACATAAAAACATAAAATGAGAAGCTCATGTTGTTACTACACTACAGTTCTTTATGTGAGAGCTTTTAGCATTAATAGCTAGAGGAGTGTACACACAAGTCACTGAGTTTTGAGAGAAGTCATTAAGTTCTGCTGGTTTCTATTA